TACCTCAGAGTTAGGAAGTGTTTCCTCTTCAATATTTTTGAAGATTTTGTAAGGATTAGTGTTAATTTGTATTAAATGTTCAGTAGACTTTATTGGTGAAGCCAAAAATTCAGTCCAGGAATTTTCTTTATTGGGAGGTTTTTGATTACTGATTCAATCTCTTGTTATGGGTTTGTTTATATTATCTATTTCTCCTTGAAACAGTTTACCTAATTTGTATGTTTCAAGGAATTTGTCCATTTCTTCTAGGTTGTCTAATTTGCTGAGGTACAGTTGCTACCTAATACTTCTTTTTAATTCCTTTGTTTCAGTTAGCATTTATTGAGCACCATTTATTTGCTGATATCTATATATATAAATATATATGTATACATGTATATGAATATACATATATATTCTCATTTAACTTTTATAACAACTCTAAGATATAAGTGGCATTATCTATATTTTGTTAAAAGAAAAAAAGAAACTAAAAGTCAAAGAAGTAAATTAACTTTCCAAACTTTCACATCTAGAAATTAGTGGAGGTAGAATTCAGACTGAAATTCTGAATATTTGACATTTTATACTCTTGCAGGCATGATCTAAGTGTGTCAGATATGAAGAAAAGTCTAGCTTTTGTGAGTGTGTGTGTATAAAAAATGTGATTTATATGTATGGGATTATTCAGATGACATCTTGTGAAGCTAGCCATTTCTAGCTCTTCTTGACTATTTAAAACAGAGGCATGTACCACTATTGCTGGAATATTTTGTTAATTAAATCCATCTACTTGAAATCAAAGCATTTCTGAGGTTCTTCAGGTTAGTACTCTCCTTTTTAAATAAGAGTGGTGAGGTCCAAGCAGGAACTATATATGCTCACCTGTATAAACTAACCTAGTTTTATGGTGATTGAGATTATTTTAACTGTGCCCTTCTTCATATATGGAGGCTATATCATTGGTGAGTTACTAAGTCATGAACTTTAAGTTGTTATTTTAAGTTAATTTCTTGTAATGGGGATACATGTATATCATTTTGTCCATACTCACTTATTTAATTGCTATTGTGACAAATCCCATGATTTTCATATGATTAGCCAAGAGTTTGGATGCATCTATGAAATAAGTAAAGAAATTAAGATTGATTCTTGATTCTTAGCTTCTTTAAAGGTATGAAAAACAATGCAGATGCTCTTAGAAAAAGTCTTGAGATCAAGACTCTTCTCATCATTGGTCTATTATTTGATGAATAGAGGAGAAATTTAGCAGGAGAAATAAGGGCATGGTGATCTCAGCAATATATACTATGATCCATGGCAATTTTTTTCTCCAATTGTTCTCAGAACAAATTAAAAATTTTGTTTTCTTTTCAAGATTCTAAATGTGTCACTCATTGCCTACTAACTTTTGCTGCAGTGTGCTGTCTCACAAAGATAAATTCAGATTGATTATGGCATTCCCTCAGAATACAGAGAAGTTATAATATTTTGCTATTCTGAATACATGCATCCAGGCAAGATGCAATGTGGCATGTCCAAGTCTATACTGTTGGCTGTAATTGAAATATTTCCATATTGTAGCAAAAATGATAATAGCTCATAAAAGTGGGGTCTATCTATGAGTTATCTGGCAACTCAAATAACTTACCATCATCCTGTGATACCACCAGACAATGATCTGTGAGATGAGGGATGTGTAGTATATCTTTCTTCTGTTTTGGAGGGTGGAAAATAAGGTATGAGACTTTGAGCCAGTAACTGAAGAATCTTTGAGTCCTGTCTCCTAGTTTAACATATTTTTCTTCTCTACTCCTCCCAAACTCTCTAAATAGGTTAATATCTGAAGTTAGTATCTCAGAAGACTGCAACCATCCCAGTCCCTCGTCTTTCTGAGGAATCAAAGTAAATGGACAGAATTTTACCCATGGGATTTTTGACTTTTTAATAAAAGTGAAGTTTGTGTCCGAATTACACAAACTAGGAGTATTCTTGCAGGAGGTAGTCTGAGTCTAATGGGTCCTAGGTTCATGATACAAGCTCCTCCTTTTCCTGTGTTTAAGTCTTAATAAGTTTCGGCTTCCTTTCAGTTTCCCTGAAAATTAGAAAATATACTTCCTGTCATTCAGGGACTCTTGCTGTGGAGCTGCTTTGATCCCAAAGCAATGTTGGTTATTGTGGCAAGTGAAACTAATGTCAGGCAAATGTCCTATAGGCTGTAACTCCTGTTTCATATTTGCTCTGTAAGCTTCAGATAAAAATAATCAGTTGGAGAACCTAGAAGCCTGGAAAGATGGATTTATGTAATGGGCATTATTTCCCAAATTGGCATTTGGAGGTTGTCTACTTATACTAGAGGTAGCAAGGGCCAGATTACGGTAGTGCCTAAAACCAATCTGTTTCAACAGGCTTCATCTTCTTTTGTACAGATTTAAAGAGAATGGGTCCTCACGCAAGCATTTCAAATCCAGAGACAAATTTGAAAAAAATTGCTACAACATGTTGACTGATTCCTTGCCAAGTCAGCCACTGAGAACTTTTTCTTGATCGACTCTTACACAGAGACAATTAAAGGCGAGGGGGAGTGGGGGGGAAGCTTGTAACTTTTTAAAAGAATTAAACTTCACGGTACTCTAAATCCCTCTCCCTCTTAAATCTTCTCTTCTACTTTTAACCCCCCTCTTCTTCACCCTTACCTTCTCCCTCTCTGGCCTTTTCCTTTTTCTCTCTCTCTTCTGATCATTCCCTGTTATCACAGTTGCTCTAATGTATTCATTTTTACTTTTGGTATTGATACAATATGTTCTGGAGACATAGCTTTCCAAAGATTATATTCAGATATACAGATTCAAACCAGCAGAAAGGTTAAAAACATTTAAAAAATATGCTTGTCAGCAGTGGAAAGAAAGCTGTTTGTAGCCAGCAGGTGAGCTGGAGAGTACTACAGGGTGTGGTAGAGATGGTAATAAATTAACTGGCAAGCCAAAAACTATAAAAAAAAAAAATCAGCTATTTCATAGCATAGAAGCATGACAGCTATGAAAAAAGGAGTGCCCCAGGGAATTCTTTTAGAGTTTGATTTTTTTAAATATGTTTGACATGAAAAATGTTTTAGTACAAATAAAACAACTGGTATTAAACTTACAGGGAGGACGGTTATGGTTTAGAGTTAGTATGAATAATGCATGATATTTAAAGAAAGAACAGCTCTAAAATGTTCTGAGAGGCAGCGCATGTTGATGGTTAGAATGGTGATTTTTTTTTCTCTATTTTTGAAGCATCATTAATTCAGCATCGTTTTGTGATTTTTTTAACCTGATAAGATGTCAACCAAAGAAATACTGTTTGACTTAGATTAAGATATTCTTTCTTCAGATAATTTAGTTTAAATATCAAGAGGATCAGTAGAATTATTTAAGCATAAAGTGGCAGTCATTTACCATAAAAAATAATTTGGCCTAGTTATCTTTTTTAAAAAGCTCATGTAGCACTGCAAACCAAAATCAACCTCATGGAAGGGGGAAAACAAGATCAGATATTTTGAACATTACTCCATAGGAGACTAGCACAATGTAGTGTTAGTGAATGCATTGTAGCGGCGCTCCATATGCAATCAGAAGCCAATTGTTACTGGACTGTGTACAAGCGCACACTGTGCTCAATGGTCTGATGAGGTATTATGGGTATGATGCAAAGAGACTGTGTAGATTAGAAGCTTACAGTTTGTTAAAAGTGAAAGCAACTTAACATTTATATTGGGCCAGCTGAGTGGAACTTCATGTGGCAAACAGGATGAGTTCCAACGAACCAGGGGCACCAGGAAGGCTCCAGGTATTAGTGTCCATGCAGGAAAAAAGGGGTTTTATTGCTTTCTAGTTGACTACCTTTATTACTGTGATTCTTTCTATACTTTTCATTATTATATTCAGCTTTTAGTGTGGAAAAGTTCATGCAAAACAGCATGATTACTGTAAATGTCAAAAATGTGTGGAGGAACAGCCTATTAAAATATAGCCTAGAGACAGTACATAACACTGACTTTAAATAAGTAGCTGAAGTCAAAGCGATACTCCATTAAATCACTGATATTGTGTAATTTATCCATAAGTATTAATTTTGATTTCAATTGCCACGATCACAATACATTCCTCATCACTTTCTCTTGGTTCTTCAGGTTGTTCGCTTCATACAGCCTATGTTCTTAGGTCACAGAAGGTACTTCAGCCCCCCTGTTTAGGAGTGGTCTGGAGCCAGAAACACATTAAGATGTAGCATTGATCTCTGCTAAACCATGCTCAATCTCGACCAGACATTTAATGCAGATATCACATGTAAGATGTGTGTTTATTTAATCAAATCATCATCAAAGGATAAGTGATGAGTGCCTAGTGTGTGTGCATGATTCTGTACTAGGTTCCATCGGAAGTTAGTGCAGAAAAACATAGTTTCCACTCTATTTGGGATACCAGGCATTTCATAGAATGTTGGCAGATAAGATTAGCTTCTCTCTTACCCCTATCAAATTAAAGAGGTTGCATTTAACTTTATTCCTCTATTTTTTATAAAATAAACGTTAGGGTTATGGACAGTCAGTAATTCTTAATCTTTTTTGGACTGTAATACTCTGCCTTGCCTACCAAGGCAAAACGTTTTGTTGTTTTAATGTAAAAGCCTTAATGCTTTCTCAGTGAACTGAATGTCAGCCTGGCTTTAAGATATTTTTTTACTCTTAAAAAAATGATGTATTACAAGATTTGTAATGGAGTGAACATGCTTGAATTGCACATTTAATTCTTTTAACATCACATTCATGTTTTGCCAGTTTGCCTACCAGCTATCTGTTAACAAAAAGTTCCAAGGCAGCAGTGCAAGTCTGTGCCCAACTAAGCCTTTTGTTTCTGCAGATGTTTGGGCTTAGAGCAATGTTGTAAAGCTCCGGCAATCCAAGGACCATGTTTGTACTTGTCTGCTGTGATTCCCTGTTCATTGTCTAAACCTGTATGCATTGTTCTTTCCGACAGGTGATAACTACCCCGTACAGTTCATTCCATCAACAATGGCAGCTGCTGCTGCTTCTGGACTCAGCCCTTTACAGCTCCAGGTGAGTGCAAGAAGAAAAATATGTGTGATACGAGCCAGTACTTTACTGGAAAACTGCTAACCAGCTGTATGCTAAATAATGGCCTGGATATTAAATAATTTTTTAAGCATAGCCTAGAAGGATTAACACCTTATGTACTTACCATACTGCAAATAGAAGAGAAAACTGTCAGTGTCAATATTTTTAAAGGAAAAAATGACATTATTGACTTAGTACTGTATGTTCTCAATCAGGTAAGTTAATGGTTTTACATTTTTTTATGGCTGGTTGTTATTGGGTATGTAAGCTTTTTCCTTATCAATTCTTCGTCCACGTCTCCATTCATGTCCAATTAGCTTTTACACATAAGCATCAAAACAGAAAACAATGTTGGATATTTTCCTTCTTGCAGCTCATAGAATAGGGGGTTGTTATTACCAAATTACTTTAACTATTTGGAAAATGTGAACACTTTGCTCCTGAATATATGTATTCTCGTCCTCATCCTCATGCCAGGTCAAAAGTCTGGGCATGGTGTCTGACCAAATTCTGGGTTAGTGTTCTTTACCTAAGGAACTAAAATTGGAGAGAAAGTGTTTCGGAAGCTAAATTAAAAAATCACTTGCACCTTCTCTTCTTCATAGTAAAATGGTGCGGGGTGGGGGGTTAACAATAGGACTAAGTAATCTTTATACCCTTCTAACACTGCCATCTTAATAGGAAATTGACTTTAAATATGAGTGTATATTTAAAAAAAACACAAAAAGATAATATCATTAAAATAATGGTTAAACCTTCAGTATTTGAACATTTAGAAAATGTATGGTAACTTGAATTTCAATACAGTGGATAGAGATAGTATTTTATTCTTATAATTTACTGTGATTTTTTTTTTTGAATTTTCTTAAATAGTCTAGGGAATAGCATCTAACTAGGCATTTTTGTTTCTTCTTTGCTATTACTCATATGACTTGAACGTAAAAAATGTACAGATATTTTACCGTGAAAAAGTATCATTTTAAGTATCTTCAACTGGGTCTACAAATAAAGAATTTTTGCAGTACTTTGAGAAGTTTTTGTCATAAGCCTCATCCAGAAAGTCTTGAAGATGTCGTCCATTATGGACTGCCTAGCAGAGCTAGACATTTTGCCTAATGAAAGCAGCAACCCTACCTCTCTTCTAAACCCTCACCTTCTCTACTACTGACAGGGGAACTTACTGCAGTTGGTAAAAATATAAAAAGAAACCTCACTCATAATCAATCTAATCTATTTCTCCTTTTTCCATAGCTATGCTATTGAGTGTCTTCTTGAGTCAGAGGCAAAAATAAGAAAGCAATTTGATCCTATAATCAAGTTTCTGTGAAAGAGAGTATCTGGGTCCTAAACCTACTTTCTATTCTTTGGTGTGGTCAGTACCCTGGGTTTAGAAATATGTGTTCTGTTTCATGAGTTCTGACAGTATGTTTTGTCTTTTTTTTTTTTTTTTCTGAATATGCTACTAAACAGAAAGGTCATGTCTCCCACCCACAAATTAACCCAAGGCTAAAGGGCCTAAGTGACCGTTTTGGCAGGAGTTTGGACACCTTTGAACATGGTGGTGGCCACTCTTACAACCACAAACAGATTGAGGTATGAATACTTCCATTGGTGCTTCATTGGGTGGGGGACTGGATTGTTCAGTCATATTCTAGGCTTTTTTTAAAAAGTAGCAAACACTCAACCTAAACACTAAAACATAATCTTTCCCTTTTTCTCATTCCTAAGGAGGCTCATTTTTGCTCCTTTTTCTTTCAGAGAAAAAGGCAAACCCCAAACCAATGCCTCTGAAATACATTGTTTATTGCTATATATTTAGGCAAATTCTTTACATTATGAGTGCTTTCAAAACCATCTTTATTTCCCTTACTCTTTTTTTAATGTATAATGCTGCACAGTAGTTAAAAAACACTTAAACATTAAAAGAAAAAAAACTCATTTGACCATGTAACAACCCTATGGAGTTGACAAAACATAATTCTGCTTTCAAAGACAAAACAATGGAGGTTCAGAGAGGTCAAGTTATTTAACCAAGGTTACGAAATATTCTTGGAGTCAGAGTTATTATCCAGGATTTCTAACTCTACCAGATTCAGGTTTTCAAATTTAGTTTCCTCTGGCTGAAGTGAGGTTGGGTGCCTCGGCCTGACATAAACTACTATAGTAGCCCCTTCATATTTAACTTTCAATAAAGCTCTTTGTTGTTTTTGTGGGATATTCTTACTACATGGGAGAGGATGGCTCATATGGCTCTTTTGAAAACCAAACCCCTTTCTCCTATAGGGACCCAGTCCTCCTCTCTCCATTATCATGCTTAATTCCTCTCCTATATCATTGGAGTACCTCTCGGGGGACTATCAGTTGCTGGAGGGTTGCCAGCTATCTGTTGAGTCACAAAAAAAGGAGACAGGTTATCTCACACTGAAATACACTTTAACTTTCTGGGTTAGATCTAATACTACATTTATGTTCTAACCTAGGATGGTAAACCCTGTTTAAAAAGAAGAAAACAATTACATCTAACACAGTTGTATATTCAGCTCCTATGGGCTCTGTCCGTCTATACATATCAACTACTATGTGATCAATAAAGTGTCCCTTTGACATTATCGTCTCTGTTGCTTTTAAATCTGCATTTTTGGAAAATGATAGAGAAAGCTCACTTCTAAGAAGAAGAAGGAAGAGGACAAGATCAAAGGACACCTTGGAAGTAGCCTAAGGAAGAGTTCAGACCTTGTTGCTTGCCTTCTTCCTTTCCCTTTCCCTTTGATTTTAAGAAGTATATAGGGGGTTTCCACCCAGACATGACAAGGCATATATACTGTTAGAATATCTGCTGTCTTCTATACAGCCAGAAGGGATTTCTTTTCTAAGGCTTTCTTTTGGCTGTAGAGAGGGTGCCATATTTCTGGACGTTCTAAAAATCTACTGTGCTTAGGATTGGCAAGCAGTGAGATAACTGGACGTTAAGAACAAGCCTTTCTGTGTGATGGCAGTTAGCAAGCTTACCTACTCAGGACAGGTAGTTTGTTAAATTTTTAAGTGCTTGAAAGGATGTAAAAGCAAGTGGCCTTGGCTCAAATTCAAAACTTCCTCTCCTCTTGACTTTTATTTTCTCTTGAGGTGTTGAGTTCTATCCCATCAACCTTCCCTTAGCCAGTTTTCTACCCAGTGTCTTCTTGTACTAACTTTCACTTAGGTTTACTTCTCTTCCCCCCACCATCACAGACCCCTGATGCTGTCAAATCTGGCTTCTGTTGGGTTTCTGGAAACCATGATGTCATATATGTGAGTGCCAGATCCGTGTAGTGCTGTAGCAATGCGGATCTAGGAGCACAACATATGCCACATGCCTGCCACTTGAATGAGACTAAATACAGAATCTGGTAAGGCAGGGGGCCCTCATAGCTTTGCAGTGTAAGTTTGGGGTGGTTTGAGAGTTTCCTGGGTTTTTTTGTTGTTTTTTTATTCTTGCTCTGTTCTCTAGCTTCCACTTTTTGTACCTTTCCTTGCATGTCAGGAAACCTTTGCTTAGAAAAGATTGACCTGGTTTGAAAGGCAGGTTTCTCAAACTATCCTGGTATGAGTATAGCACGTTTATTGGGACTTCCATGAACTGCACAGTGGACACCCATATCTAACCTGCTATAGACACTAACATTTTAAATCTTGAGCAAAAGTAGAGAGAAAATTTAATAATATCTTGCTTTATTGATTTTAAAGTCTACTTTCTTTTCTAGCCAGGGTTTTCTCCATTCCTTTGACAAGCTAAATGCCACAGCTGTGTCAGCTGTGGATAGGATCATGATAAATTGTGGATACTAAGCATTACAATTATGTTAATGGGTTTTATTTCTAATCAGAGATTCTTAGGAAGAAAGACCATAACACATATATACTACCACCACCTCCACGCACACCCTGCTGCATTGCTCAGAAGTGGTCCTCTCTACCTGATGTACAGTTAATTTGTCCTTCAAAGGTTGTCACTTTTAACATTAATGAGCCTGGGTAATCTTAACAGTATAGTTATACTCTGGAAGCCTGAAATTTTGTTATCAGGCAGAGGAAAAGTATTTAAAGTGGAAAGATCCTCCTTACGTTAGTATATTCCAGTTCTTTCTTTCTTTAAAATAAGAAAGACACAGAAAAGGTTTTTTGTTTTTTGGTTTTTTTTTTGGTACTCCGTGCTGATCTAAGGCATGGTTTTCTCTGCCTCAGGAGCACAATATTAGGAGAGAGAAGGCCAAAGAATGCTATTTTTAGTTGAACAGTTCAGCAGATGGAGGCATGAATGAATACTCATATATCTGAAGGTTGAGGGGCTTGAACCATTAATTTTGATAATGTATTTAACCCTGGGAACAATCAGAAACTGTAACTCTAAGGTTACAGTGCTTTTGACCTTTAGAGAACAGAGGGGCACTTGCTACAGTAAACAATATATTATATTGCTACTTATTCCAGTTCTCTACCCGTATAAATTTCAGGACCAGTTGCCATTTGCTTTCCTCAGCTATGTTAGCATTGGTCCTTCAAGTAAGTCAAAAGGGGGGGACCAGTATAATGAGGCAGTCATGTAAATATGGCCTTTAAATAGCTAAGATGTTAGATTGTTTCTGAAGAAATATTGTCTCAGAAACTAAGCTCAGAATGACACTTTTTTTTTTAACTAAAGAGTGATTTTAATGTACTGATTCATTTTTTGTTGTTACTTTCAATGTGATAGGTACCTAAAGTAATTTGGTTTTGTTTTTTAATTGGAAGTAATGTTGCCTCATAGTTTATATTAAATACAATCTGGTACCATATCATGCAAAGTAATGCACCTGTCTCATGCTGTCTTATTAAATGATGCATGCTTCTCTTTAGCAAATACAACAGTTAAATATCACACAGTTTAAGAATTTCTAATTAAACTATCTCCACATGTCAGCATATTGGTAATGTATTATTTTAATCCATTTATTTTGTTTATGAAACAGTGACATATGTTTAGATTGTGAAGTACATGAGCCTTAAAAATCACTTTATTGAAGAAAATTAATTCCTACAATACTGTCTCGGTAATGTGTTCACTCACCCAGTCAGTCATTGGTGGCACTGCCAGTCTTAATGTAGAGTAGACACACTTACTAGTGTTATCTGTGTAACAGTCTTGGAATGAAGCAATAACAGTTCTTTTTCTTAGTTCCAAACGATAGGGTTTTCTTCCTTTACTTTTTTTTTAACTCATTAATTCAAACCTGTCCCCCCAAAACACTTTTTGTCGCTTTTTTTTTTTTTAATACAATGAAGGATGGGACTGAGTGTATGTATAAGGGATTCTGAGAGACCAATCAAAATTAGAAACAAGCTAGTTACCTTTTGAAAGTTAGACATAGTAATTTGTTTGTCAGCAGGGAGATGTTTGGGTCAGCCCTGAAATAAAGTGACTGTCAGCAGTTATTCCTACAAGACAAGTAATTTCACTCAATGTATTACTGACAGATTGCTCACTTCTCTGAATCACCAGAGAAAACAAACTTAATATTGTTACAGCAGAGTTTCTGTCTTCATTAGCTGCAGAGAATGATTTTTATCTAGCATTCAAAGCCTACCAAGCTTTAGTTGGAACATATTTTAACCAAGTTCTTATAATGACAGTATGGGTGGTAGCCTAAATGAAAGGAAGTAAATATGAAAATTTTAAAAATCAATATAAATATATTTTCACTTTTATTTGATGGGTATTATGTGTAGTTTGGGGAAGATTTGAGGAAAGGAGTATAATCAGAGCCTCAAAACACTAGAAAAACCTATCAATCAACCGTAAGTTATTCTTAAAGGAAACTATTAAAGTCTTGCGAAGTTTGCAAAGATGGAGGAGAACAATAGAAATTTTGCAAAAATGAATAAAAACACGTATTTTATTTAAATGATATTGTCAGTTTTCATACTACAACTGGAAAGTGAAGAAGTGCCCATCAACACTGAGAATATGCTCTATTTCTATTTTAGTTCCAGCCTGAATCTTTATGATATTATATATAACGCTCTTCTCTGGCTCAAACCCTGTCTTCTTGTTTGAAATCGTAAACACGCCTCAGTTCTGTGGAGGAATGAGAGGGTGAGTTAGCTGGGCTGAGCGGGCTTTGGAGGTTGTGATTTCTAATAGAGGGGTGAATAAAGAGTTGATTAGAGTGACCTATTGCTAGCTACCTGATAGAGAAAAAGGAACGCACTGATTCAAAGCTTGTTCTGAGGATGCCAACCAGGGGGTTGTGCTTTGAGGGGAAATGCTTGCTTTTCTCATAATCAGCCTTTTCTCACCCACTTTGGCTTTAAGAGTGTGATGGAATTTGGGAGGACCATTACCGCTGGGATTAGATGAGCTAATGGAATGAGCTCCATTTTGGAATCAGAATCTTGGATTAGAGTTTCCGCTATTACTTGCTATGTTGTCCTATACTGCTCTCAAATAACCTTCTTTTTTCAGTTTGTTCATTGTAAAAAGGGGATAATATTTATTCCCAGGGTTGTTGTGAATAGTAAATGGGTTAACGCGGCACGTATTAGATTTCCACAAAAATGTATTATCAGAATAGGAAAAA